CCAGGAGGAGCAGGTGCTCAGAGACGCAGGGGGTCCCTGCTGCAAGCCTTCACCCTCTCCTTCCTCTCCTTCCTCTCCTTCCTCTGCTCTCTGCTCTCTGCTCTCGTCCTGATGTCGCCTGGGTGGGGATGTGCCTTCTAACCCTTCACCAGTCAACCAATCCAGCTTCACTGGGAATACGGTCTCCTGACGGGATAAGGGGGTGTCTAGTGACCCCGCTCGACTGAGGTTGACCTCCTGGCCAGGAGCGCGGTCATGTGGTTGTGCCTCCTGAACTGTCGTTATCGAACTCCATCAACCCACTGAGGTGCAGGACTGTGTACAGCGAGGAGGGGCCTGGACACAGGCTGCAGTGTCGCTCGTCCCTGCCCCTCCTCCACACGAGCCCAGGGCAGGGGGGCTGTCTCCTCTCCTCTCCTCTCCTCTCCTCTCCTCTCCGTGTGCAGACCGGCAGCTGGGAGCCCTGCTCTCCCTGAAGCACCTCTGTCGTCGCGCCGCGCCAGCTGGTCTGCTCCCCCGAGAACAAAGACTTTTCCATATCGGGATCAACACCAGGCAGGATCTATTCATGAGCGCGTTCATGCCGAGCAGAGGCAGGACGTGTCCCTGGGGGAATTCTAGCCCGGTCCCCGGACGGGAGGAACGCGTTTCCCAGGCTCTGCAGCTGTTGCCCATCAGCACAGGGACTCGTGGGTATCGAGAGCGCAGCCCACAGGCTGGACCGGGCCCCACCTGGGCCAGAGAGCTCCGCCTGTTTGGTTCTGTGTTAACCCAGGACCCAGGACTGGGTCGGTCTTCCTGTGCTCGGACTGGGCGGTTCAGGACGGGTCGAGGTCGTTCTGCAGTTCTGCAGCTGTGGTGCTGCAGAGAATCCCACATCCTGTAGGAAATCCTGCCGGGCTCTGGGTTTGGGACCGGGTCGGCGCTCAGGGCTCACCGCGAGCACGCTAAGCTGCAGACAGGGATCGCCCCCTTCAGGCCGCTGCTGGAATCACGGTCTCCTTGCTGTTCCCAGGAGGAGAGCGGGGAGTGTCCCGGTGTCCCAGTCGGAGTGCCGAGCCGCTGTGCTCCCGGAGCACGATGGCC